TGTTTCAAGAGTGAAATCAGAACAAACGTGGCTGATATCTTGATTAATCTCTGATGAGTTTGGCATAGTTATGTCTACATTTTTGTAAAGGTGATGGATTCTCTTTTCAAAGACGAAAGCTTTACAATATTTCTACTTAAGTTCAAATAAAGACAGCTGGTGCTATCAAGAGAAGTAGGGCAACAAAGTCATAGTTCTGAGTATGGCAAGAATCCCATAAATGACACAGTTCTTCTTAAGGTAAAAGAAGACATGAAGATATAAGTTGACCAGATGGTTATTCATAAATGGAAATGGATTATGAAATGGAAAAAGATCAAAACTTTGGAGTCAAAAGAAGATTGATGCATTTGTACATTCATAAGAATATCATTTGTATTCAACATACATTTCATTGATACATTTGATTGCATTTGCATAAATATACTTCTCACATGAAGATGTAGGAACAAAATACCTTACGAGTATAAGGTAGAATCCATATCACAGGAAACATGTTTGGAGAGGCAAACGTCTGAAGAAGAGATGAACACAATCCATACAGCAGAAATATTGGGGCATGCCCAACCAATAAGTTGTTATAAGAATGAGAAAATGAATTTTGAAGTTTCTCATTCAATTTTCAAGAAAATGAAATATTTGGAAATGTCTCAAGCAAGATGATTCTTTCAAGCCAAATCAAACTTCACGGAAGAGTAGTGAAGCAAAGTAAAATTCGAGCTCTACGGAAGAGTAGTGGAATGGATTTTTCAGCAAAGTATGAAATCTTCAAGGAAGAGTAGTAAAGTAAAAGCAAATCAGTCTCCACAAAAGAGTAGTGGAACAGATTTTTCAGCAAAGTATGAAATCTTCACGGAAGAGTAGTGAAGTAAAAGCAAATAAGTCTCCACGAAAGAGTAGTGGAACGGATTTTTCAATAAAGTATGAAATCTTCACGGAAGAGTAGTGAAGTAAAAGTAAATTTGAACTCCGCGAAAGAGTAGTGAAATGGATTTTTCAGCAAAGTATGAAATCTTCACATAAGAGTAGTGAAGTAATCCAAGTTTGGGTTTGAAATTTCATGAAAGAGTAGTGGAAGCAAATTCAACTTTGAATCTAATATTCACGGAAGAGTAGTGAAATTAGATTCTTGTCAAGTCAATCATTTCTAAACTTCACGGAAGAGTAGTGGAGTAATTCAAGTTTGAGTCTGAACTTCACAGAAGAGTAGTGAAATAGATTCTATTCAAGTTATCCAGATGAAACCTTCATGAAAGAGTAATGAAGTCATGCAAATTTAGCCTTCACGGAAGAGTAGTGAGGCGAATTATTTGCAAGTCATCCTCGGCCTTCACAGAAGAGTAGTGAAGCAAAAGTAAGATCAAATTAAAATTTGATCTCCACGAAAGAGTAGTGGAGCGAATTCCCAGCAAAGCAAGATGTTCACTCGACGAAAACTTGTCTTTTTATCTTTGCTTTATTATTGTTAACATAAAAATAAGCAAAGAGGGGCAGCTGTCGACGGTCGTTTTCGTCCGAGTGACCATTATTATATATATGTTATTATATATAATAATATATAATAATATATTATTATTTATAAAGCTCGAAGGCCCGGTTACAAAGAAGGCTCACAGGCCCATATTACATCCAGACCCAATAATCAGTTCAAGCCCAAATTCAGCAAGCCCACACGCGAGAAGCCCTAAGTAGCTAAGGTTTCCAGTATGTTTCTCCAGCCTCCGCTCCACCACTATTCGATCTAGATATAGATCAACGGTCACAAGTGATCTAGATGATTCCAGAAACCCTAGGGTTTCATCATTACCCTAGGGTTATCATCTCGCCGCCGCAGACGATCTACGACTGTCCAAGTGCTCCAACCATCTGCTGCCACAATGTCAGAACTCTCCAGAAGAAGGATATCAGCCGCACATGTTACAACCCTAGGGTGAGTCACCACCGTAGCTCTGGTGACTCACCAGGGTTCACCCTTGTGAGCCATCCGAACAGAGCTCCATCAAGGCCTATAAATAGCCTCGACCCTGCAAGGAAACAAGATACACAACAATAGAGGAAGCATGTCACCAACAATAGACAGCAGCAACAGAGAGAAAAAACAATCAATAAGTAAATAGAGAGAATAGGTTGAGAGCACTTACCTTGCCAAAAGCCAAAACGTTGGAGATTAAAGTTTAAACCGAGGTAAAAATCTCAGTTTTATTTAGATATAGGCTTATTGAAGGGTTTTTAGAGAAAAAGGAATTCGGATTTAGAAAGAGGGAAACCCGGTCTATATTTTAGGGTAGTTTACGAAGTTCCGGCCACCGTGGGTGGTGGCCGGTGACGACAGAGATCAGCGACACATAGTTGTCGACCGACGATAACTCTCCCTCAGGCGAGGGATTTTTAGAGAGAGCTTAGAGCCTCTCCCTCTAAAAGAGAGAGGAAAAGAATGAGAGACTTAGCTCTCTTTAGGTCGGTTATGGGCTATATAAACTGTAACACCCTTAACCCGTATATATCTCGATATACGAGTCAGGGGTGTTACATTTATTGGTATCAAAGCCACATTTTTAGTCGATTCTCAGCCTAAACTGAGCCTATAATATGTCGAAAGTATGTACATGCCACTTGACTCGTATATCAAGATATATACGGGTTAAGGGTTTTACATAAACCCTCCCCGAATGGTGTCGTTTTGGGGAGGGACTGTGCGAGCAATTTTGCAAAAGGGTAAATTACACCCATGGTCTTCAAAGCTTTGTAATCTCACGATTTGGTCCCGAAATCAGGTGTTGCATTTCTTTATTTTGGTTTTTAAATTTTATATATTTATATTTTAGTCCTTATTATATTAATACATATATTTTAGGATAAGTTAAGTATTTAGTCCTTATTATTTTTAATTATTTCTATTTTATTATTATTTGTAATAAAGGGTAAATTACATAATTAGTACATAATTTTTAATATTATTTTTAATTAGGATTAATTAATATTTTATGTTTTAAACTATTAGCATATAATTAATTAGAATTCATATTTTATGATTATTATTATGATTTTTCAATTTAATATATGTGATTATAATAATATTATTAATAATAGATCTTTTTAATATCATTTAAGTATTTATCTATATTAAATTATTTGTAAATAATTAAATTAAATATAAATTTGTAATTTACTGCAAAGACATTTAGTTAATAAATATCGGTACCAATTTTGGGCGTTGTAGGAATGCTAATTCTATTCCATACGTAATTGACTCCCAAAATTATTTTTCTGGTAAGCAGACCTGAGTTGTATTATTTTAATATTATTCTTAGGAATTTCTATTAAAATAATATGATGATATTTTGGTGATCAATCCCACTATATAAAAGATTGGTGGTGACTCTACAATTTGGTGTTTTATCTGATTCATGGAGGATAAACACTTATTTTTTCGAGACTAGTTACACCGTCTGGCGTATACTATTTACACTCTCCGTCACCAGGGCAGAGAAACGTCTCAACACATTTTAAAGTATCAAAAGATCAAAGTCGTTAATAGAATGATAAAACAATATATATTATTAAATATTTAATTGATTCATTAAGCTATTTGGTAATTATTATTTCTTTTTGAAATGTAGGGGTGTTCAGGTACCCAAAGTTCCGGATACTCAGCTCCTCGAGTACTTGATTGGTTGGTTCATGTCCCGATCTTGATGTTGTAGGTTTCCGGTAAATCGGATTTTACAAATACCCGTAATTAGGTTAATCGGGTATTCGGTTTTTTATCATTTTCAAATTACTAATTAAAAAAATTCAAAAAATAAATATTCAAATTACATACTCCAACATCTAAAAATAGAATTTAAAAGTTGTTTTTTTTGTGGGAGGTTATTTTAAATTTTATTAGTTTAATTTAATATATAAAATTATTAATAATTAAATATGTAATATTATTATATATACAAAATAAATATAACCTGGTACTCGGGTAATTGGGTACCCTTTAGTTTTGTGACCCGAGCCTGACCAAAAAATGTCGAATTGTGTACCTGACCCGGAACTTGAATTTTTCTTTTTAAAATACCTGAAGTTTTTATCGATCGGTAGTCTCAGGTCATCCAGGTCAGGTATTTTTGAACACCCCTAAATTTATAATGAAATGTGCTAGTTTATTTACCTTTGAATTTTGGGTAAATTACTCGTTTAGTACCTAAACTATTAGTTTTATACCGTTTTAGTATCTAAACTTTTAATTCTTTTGAAGCATACATAAAGTTTAGTTTTTGTTTCATTTTAGTATCTCTGTTCAATATTTAACGTTGAATTTTGAAAAATTGAAAGTTTATGTATTAAAACGGACCAAAACTGATAGTTTATGTACTAAACACATTAAGTTTTTAACAATGGGTACTAAAATGAAATGAAAACTAAATATTAGGTATGATTTTTAAAAATTAAAAGTTTAAGTATTACAACGGATTAAAATTGATAGTTTAGTGCTACATGTATAATTTACCCTTGAATTTTTGTGTATAGTGTTTGAACAAATATTGGAGAAAATGTCTCAATTGCTAGAAGAACCATCAATGACCTTTTATATCTTTTGTTTGAAAGGAATATAAAGGAAAAAGTGAAAAGTTTTTATAAAATATTCGACATTTTATTACAATCTTTTTTTATCCAATTGCAATATTCTATTTTTTAAAAAAAAACTATTATTTAGTAATTTATGAAAAGTAAAAGCATTATATAATTAGCATAATTTTAAAAACCGTAAATCTTGGTAGCTCCTAGATTCACTTTCGAGAATATACTGCCAATATGCCATCACTATTATAGTTTTTTTTTTGCAACAGTGTTCTTATCGTATAAGAAATAAACAACCATTAACTAACGATCATCAGCAGTTCCAGTAACCAAAAAAACCCATCACCTTTTTTCTTTTTTTTTTCTATCTCTCTATATCTCTCTTCTTTCATCATTCAATCCATCACCTTTGATTCTCCCCTTCGACAAAAATGGCAGGTAACGATTGGATTAACAGTTACTTGGAGGCGATTTTGGATGTGGGTCCAAACTTAGACGACGCTAAAGCGTCGCTGTTGCTCCGGGAAAGAGGCAGGTTTAGCCCCACCCGCTATTTCGTGGAGGAGGTCATCACTGGATTCGATGAGACAGATCTCCATCGTTCTTGGGTTAAGGTACTCTGCTGTCGTTTCTTTGATTTCTTGCTGGATTGTTTTCTTTTCCATTTTTAGCTGATATTTTTTTTAATCGGTGTAGGCTCAAGCAACGAGGAGTCCCCAAGAGAGAAACACTAGATTGGAGAATATGTGTTGGAGGATTTGGAATTTGGCTCGTCAAAAGAAGCAGGTTGTTTGTTCTTTTCTTTTCTTTTTAGTTGTCTTTTCTTTCTCACCTGGTTGGATTGTGATTTTAGATGCTCAAATGTGAAGCGATGATGGATTGATCATGATGGTTTGTGATTGGAATGGAAGTGAAGCCTAATATTTTCAGTTTTTTTTTTCTCTTTTCTTAAAATGATTTGATTGAATTGGTTTAACTTATGAAGTCAGTGAAGAATTGAAATGTGAGATGAAAATGATGAGTCTGGTTGATTTGTAGAGGGGTTGATGCCTTGTTTGGATTATTGAATGGGCTTATATATGATTTTCAATTTCTCTAACAAATGCTACTCAGCTAATAACCTTGTCCAAACAAAAGGTTTTGTTTGTATCATTTGGTTGTTTGCCTTTTTCTGACAAGCAAAGGTGAGATGAAGTACACTTACTTGAACAAATCGTATTATTTTTGCATAATCGAAAAAATAAAAACGTTGCTTTTGCTGGTGTTTGGTTAGTTGCTGATTTTTAAGCAATTACTGGTATTTGTTTCTACCATTTATTTTTGCTTTTGCTGTGATTGGATATGAAATAACACAATTTTAATGGAGTTAATTTCCTCATTGGATTAGAAGTGTAAGCTGGTATTTTGTTACCCAAGTTTGATCCTTCATGCTTAATTGTTAAATGTAAATGGCCTTCAACTTAACATGCTTTTTGAAGGAAACAGAATGCTAATTATTGCTTTGGTTGTTCAGAGAAGTCGGCATCAGGTTTAAATTAAAACACACACACCCCTTGGCTTAATCCATGAAATAACTTTTCAGTGTTATTCACGTGCAACGAGGATATTCTGTGTAATTTTGTTCTCTTCAAAATTAAGTTGCTAACATAAGTTGTGGAGTTATTTTGATTTTAGTTCAATGTATACTTTTCCCCCCGCCTTGTGAGGTTATGGGTTGGCATGGTTAAAAGTAATTGGTAAAACTCAAACAATTGAATTCTCCATCTTAGTATACTATAAAATACTGGGCTCTGTGATTAAGTCCTAAGCTTTTTGATATTTCTTTCTTTTGCAGCTGGAGGGACAGTTGGCCCAGAGAAAGGCCAAACGTCGTCTTGAACGTGAAAAAGGCCGCAGAGAAGCCACTGCTGATATGTCTGAAGACTTATCAGAAGGGGAGAAAGGAGATATTGTTAGCGATGTATCTGCTCATGGAGAGAACAACAAAAGCAGATTGCCTAGAATAAGTTCCGTTGATGCAATGGAGACTTGGGCTAGTCAGCAGAAAGGAAAAAAGCTATACATTGTACTAATAAGGCATGAACTGAACTCTAGTGCTTTTTTTTCATATTGGATGTCAGATATCATGTATTGTTAACTTTGTGTTCCAGTATTTCTAGCGTTTGGTTAACTTTATTTTATTTTTGTTATCATAAATTGTGGTACTATTCTTGGCCTGAAACCAATCAGTTAGTTACTGAAATGAAATCCAGTAAAAGAGTTAAAAAAATTGATTATGCATGCTAATGTACCCTTGACATTAGGATGAATGCATGCACAATGGTATTTAATATTTTTAAAAACTCGTTTTCATGCAGCCTTCATGGTCTAATTCGAGGTGAAAATATGGAGCTTGGTCGGGATTCTGATACTGGTGGCCAGGTAATTTGGTTGTCTAAACTTTCTCTAATTGTAGCATAGAAAACCTGCCATGACATATGCTATTAAACAAATCTTGAACTTCTGTTGTCTATAGGTTAAGTATGTTGTGGAACTTGCAAGGGCATTGGGTTCAATGCCAGGAGTTTATCGTGTTGATTTGCTGACTAGGCAAGTTGCATCACCTGAAGTAGATTGGAGCTATGGTGAACCCACAGAGATGTTGACACCAAGAAATTCAGAAGATTTAATGGATGACATGGGAGAGAGCAGTGGTGCTTATATTGTACGAATACCATTTGGTCCTAGGGATAAATATATACCCAAAGAACTTCTGTGGCCTCATATCCCTGAATTTGTTGATGGTGCACTTAGCCATATAATACAGATGTCCAATGTTCTGGGTGAGCAAATTGGCAGTGGGAGACCAGTCTGGCCTGTTGCCATCCATGGACATTATGCAGATGCAGGCGACTCTGCTGCTCTTCTATCTGGTGCTTTAAATGTACCAATGCTTTTTACTGGCCACTCACTTGGACGGGATAAGTTGGAACAACTTTTGAAGCAGAGTCGCTTATCAAAGGATGAAATAAATACAACATACAAAATCATGCGCCGAATAGAGGCTGAAGAATTATCTCTTGATGCCTCTGAAATAGTCATAACCAGTACTAGACAGGAAATAGATGAGCAATGGCGTTTATATGATGGTTTTGATCCCGTTCTGGAGCGTAAATTGCGTGCAAGGATCAGGCGTAATGTCAGCTGCTATGGAAGGTTCATGCCTCGCATGGTTGTAAGTTCTGGAACATTATGTACTTTGCAAGGTGCTTTCTTCGGTTTTAAAGAGGGCTGTTTAGCTTTGAGCTTTGCTTATGGATAGTGTTTAATGTCTAGTGTATTATTTCTTTGAGCTTGGCTTGGCTAGTCATGTTTTTGATGCTTGCTTCACTCAGAAAATATGCAGACATGTTTATTCTCATGCTAGTTCATAGAGTTTTGGTTATTGATCTTTCTATTTGTACAGATAATTCCTCCTGGAATGGAATTCCATCATATTGTCCCACAAGATGGTGATATGGATGGCGAGATAGAAGGAAATGAAGAACATCCATCTTCCCCTGATTCGCCTATTTGGTCTGAGGTTCGTATCATTCCTTATGCATTTACCCACAAAGTGCTTTGTATTAATGTGCCCATACCCCAAGATATGATACTATGCCTCTTGCTACCATCAAAATATATATTAGTTCTGAACTTGGTGTTTTGTAGATAATGCGCTTCTTCACAAATCCTCGAAAGCCTATGATACTTGCACTTGCTAGACCAGATCCCAAAAAGAACATCACAACTTTGGTCAAAGCTTTTGGAGAATGTCGTCCACTACGGGAGCTTGCCAACCTTGTATGTTTGTATAACTAATGAGACTTGTTTGATTGAAACTGCTTCTTCCTTGTACTGACAGTTCTTTATTATAATCCTTTTCTTCTTTGTAAAGCTGAAGCACTTTTATTGATGCCTTCATTCAATTCTACATTTTTCTTTCTTTGGTGCTCCATAGACACTGATCATGGGAAACCGAGAAGGAATTGATGAAATGTCGAGCACAAATGCTTCTGTTCTTCTCTCAGTACTTAAGCTTATTGACAAATATGATCTTTATGGACAAGTGGCATATCCTAAACACCATAAACAGTCTGAGGTAGCTGATATTTACCGTCTAGCGGCAAAGACAAAGGTAGTACCTTTTTCGTTTACATTATTTTCATAGATGGCTTGATTCTTTGGTCCACTTCCATTGCAGTGTGCATCCATTGAACTTACATTTCCTATTTGGTTTCTTTCTTGTTCAAAACTCTTTCTGAGTTCCAAGTTCCGTTTGTGTTGTACTGACTGCATTCTACTTATATTCTAAATCTTATGTCTGAAAGGAATATGTATTTGCAGTTGTAGTTGTTATCTATGTCCAACTGGTGCTTGTCTTACAACACTTCCTTTCATTTTGATATAAATGTAAAACATTGATTTTTAAATCGTTAAATTTATGCCTTTTTGCTTTTGTTGTGGAGGGATATGACTTGAGATTGTTTTGTTATTATCATTGAGACACTTGGTTTGGGTATCTAATTTTTCTTCTTGATCCTTTGGCTGCTATGTCTCCCCCTCAATACCTCCTAAAATTGTTCTAATTTCTCGTAACTCTTTCATTCTCCCAATATTATTTACATCTGTTTCTGATCCAAGTTTTTTGTGCAGGGTGTTTTCATCAATCCTGCTTTTATCGAACCATTTGGGCTCACTTTGATCGAGGTGCTCTTCCAGATAGGTTTAAATAGTGTTTATTTCATGTTATTTCCGAACCATTTATGAAGTTGGCTCTTTTGTTGCAGGCTGCAGCTCATGGTTTGCCGATTGTTGCCACCAAAAATGGAGGTCCTGTTGACATACATCGGGTATGACTCATCAACTATAATGGTTTTGCTTTAAATCAGAGAATTAACAAGCATTTGAGAGAATCCCAAGTTTGAATCACAGTGTTTATAATCTATGAGATGTTTTGCAGGTCCTTGACAATGGTCTTCTTGTTGATCCTCATGATCAGCAGTCTATTGCTGATGCTCTTCTGAAGCTTGTTGCGGACAAGCATCTCTGGGCAAGATGTCGTCAAAATGGTTTGAAGAACATTCACCTATTTTCATGGCCAGAGCACTGTAAAACTTACTTATCTCGAATTGCGAGCTGTAAACCAAGGCATCCACAGTGGCAAAGGAGTGATGTTGGAGGTGAAAGTTCAGAATCAGATTCACCAAGTGATTCCTTGAGAGATATACATGATATTTCTTTGAACCTGAAGTTTTCTATGGATGGGGATAGGAGTGGAACTAGTGGAAATGATAATTCTTTAGATGCTGAAGGAAATTCTGACAGAAATATCAAGTTGGAGAATGCCGTTTTATCATGGTCAAGAGGTGTTAAAGATCAAAGGAAAGCTGGATCTGGAGACAGAGTTGAGCATAGCTCCAGCACAGGAAAGTTTCCGGCATTAAGAAGGAGGAAACACATCTTTGTCGTTGCTGTGGACTCTGATTCCAATGAAGATCTTCTTGATGCCATCAGAAAGATTTTTGAGGCCGTTGAAAAAGAAAGGATTGAAGGCTCAATAGGTTTTATATTGTCATCATTTATGACAATTTCCGAGATACATTCTTTTCTGGTCTCTGGTGGCTTGAATGCTAATGATTTTGATGCTTTCATCTGCAATAGCGGTAGTGATCTCTTCTATTCAACTATTAATCCTGAAGATGGTCCCTTCGTAATCGACTTCTATTACCATTCACACATTGAATATCGTTGGGGTGGGGAAGGCTTGAGAAAGACTTTGCTCCGTTGGGCCGGATCAATTACTGATAAGAAGGCAGGAAATGAGGAACACATTGTAACTTCAGCTGAACAACTTTCAACAAATTATTGTTATGCTTTTGAAGTGAAAAATGCAGGAATGGTAAATTTTCTTTCATTATACTTCTGGCTACAAGCAAGTGAATTTTTAATCAAACAAGAATTGAAGTTCTACATTTATGCTTATGCCCTTTTCAGGTTCCCCCTGTTAAGGAGCTCCGAAAGTTGCTGAGAATTCAAGCTCTCCGTTGCAATGTTATTTATTGTCGATATGGAACTAGGATAAATGTAATTCCGGTTTTGGCATCTCGTTCACAAGCTCTCAGGTGGAGTTTTATGCCCCTTTTACCATTTTATTTTATAACGGTTCCTTTTTCTTTTTGATAATTAAGGGTATACATGCTTGTATACCCTTGTTTGACATATTTGGACATTGGTAGAGTTCATTGACCCTCAAAGACCCTGGAAAAATATAGAAAAAATCGAACATATCCGTATTGGCCATATATCCGCGTCCAACACACACACTCAAGTCCAAGTTTATTTCCATCAATATTTTTTTTCAGTTCAGTAGCCAACTGAAATTTGTGAAGTTTTAACTTAGATGGTTGATCTGGTCCCTATGATCTATTGGATCAAGAAAACCAGGTTTTAAATGTTCTAGGTGCAGATGCTTGGACTTCTTTCTATTCTCCGATATTATCCGGGCCTTTTTTGTTACTTTTTAGCTTTAAAAGTTGGTTTTCGTCGTTGATCATTGGGATTTAGCTTTTGGCATCTTTGAAATTTATCCCGTTTAGCAATGTTTCAATTCAATTGACACCTGAAACACGAATTTCAGGTATCTGTTTGTTCGGTGGGGCATCGACCTGTCGAAGATGGTGGTTTTCGCTGGAGACTCGGGGGATACAGATTACGAAGGGTTGCTTGGTGGGGTGCATAAATCCGTGGTATTGAAGGGAATCTGCAGCAACACAAGCAACCAACTGCTCGCCAACAGAAACTATCCACTCTCCGATGTCATGCCCGTTGACAGCCCCAACATTCTTCAGACATCCCAAGATTGCACTATCTCTGACATCCGTGATTCCTTGGAGAATCTACTTAAAATCTAAGAACTTCACAGCCTTGCCTCCGTTCAGCGCTATCGTCTCTCGGTCCTTTCTCCTGCTCTTAAACATTATCTTTAAGACATAGACTTTACAGGGCTGTTAGCTTTTTCTTGTTCACCCTGAAACATCTCAAACCATTCTAAATGTATCCCCCGAGAGACTTGTACATTCCCTCTAAGTGTTCGTTTGCTGTTTGATTTTGTAGCCAATAAGTTCAAATACCAGCTGTTGAACTCAATTTGCATGGCTGCTGTATTACTAAAGATGTGTGGAATTGGATGCCTGTATTTGGCATTGTTCTTATGATCATAATAATCTGTTTAACACCAATTCCGATACTAACATACAAGCTTAATATCTAGGATGAACTTTTTTATAGATAGGGATGGCAACGGGTTAGGTTTTTTTTCAATACGACCCTACCCAAAAATATGCATTCTCCATCTGATTCCAACTTTAAAGTATGTATCTTTCACTCGAAACCAATTTGACCTGAAAATTATATATCCTTCTGACCTGACTCGAAAATATATGTCCATCAACTTCAACCTGACCCAAATTTTTATAATATAAATATGATCATATCTAGTAAAAAATAAGGACTTAATTAAAAAGAATAAAGTTTTTAAGAAAATAATATCCCCGGGTCAAGTTTGTTCACATTTCACCAGAACTTGACCCAACCTGACCTCACCCCTTAAAAAAATCCACTCGACCCGACCCAAACTCGATTTTTAAAAAAATCTGATCCTATAAAATCAGATCGAGTTGAAACCCGTATGATTCGAATTAAATTGTCATCCCTATTTATAAATCAGACCATATCATAGTATAATTTAGTTCAAGAAAATATTTCACTCGATAAAATTTAAACTTCAATTTGAATATCTTATTCATTGAATATAAAACTAAAAGTGATTTTAACTTTTAATGAAGCAATTAAATCAACCAAATAATCAGCGATTACTAACCAAATTTAACATAAAAACTTAATTAAGCAAAATCGACACTCAATAAGACTTGGAGGTTAAAACTTTAAAACTATAAACCTCTTTCTTGAAGGGATCGATTGGCTAAACTTACATATCTTTATAATATCTATCTATAAAACTTATATTCATTAATACTCTTTTTTTTTTCTGTTAAAAACTGGTTTTCAAGTTTTTAATGAATTAGGTCTAAATAGGAAACTTCATTTTTTTATAAGGGTTGAATTTAAAATACTATTCTCGATCATTTGATAATGAATACTCATACACCTAACATACGCGGTATTTAAACTTGAGACCTTAAAAATTATTTTTTTTTATAATTTTAAAAAGAATTTATGTCTAAATATGAGATAATAACTTTTTTTTATTAATTTGGGATAAGTACAAGACAATATTTGTTCAAAGATAATTCTCAATCATTTGACATTTCACGCTCACAGCCTTGATATTCATGATGAAAGGCATAATCACGTCTTTATAATTTTAATAATCACCCGTATATATATTACGTGAGAAAATAATTACAACTTTGATAAAAAAAATATAATAAATATATAAAAATTTAACATCAAACATTTATTTTTTAAAGCGTAAGAAATTCCAGTAATCCACGTGTGTGAAAATTTACAACTTAAATTAATGCTTGAAAGCAAAGGCCACGCAGTCTTTTAAAATTATATCACTTATAGGGCGGTTTATTTACCCCCTCCACTATTTAACTTCATCCCTAAACGTAGAAAGACGTCACCATGCTTATTGGGTTACCTACCAACTACATGCTTTCTATCCAATTATAACACACACACCCATACCTTATCCACTAATCATTTATACAAATTTAGTTTTAGAATTAATCTACACAATCAGGTTCTGAATATCATGAAAATTGTAAAATTTCTTAACAGACACGTGGAGTTAAATTGTTGGTTTTTACTTATTTGTCGCATACTGTATAAATTACTAAACTGTTGATTTTAATTAGATTAAGTTTTTAGTTTTTGTAACATATGATGACTAATTTATGATACTTAAAAAGTGAAGAGATTAATTATTTTAATCTCAGTGAAAGAGAGGAATAAAATACAAATTAGACCATGCATGAATTTAGTATTGAAATGAATATATATATATATATATATATATATATAAAAGAAACCAAATTAATTAATGAAGTTATAGGTAAGCTGTGAGTATGATGATTCCATTCTTTGTAGTTGGTGCAGTTAAGCTATCTGCCATCCTCCAAACGACACCTAAATTAAATAATAACCCTTTCAAACGACAAACTCAATACCAAAACGAGAGCTCTTGCTTTCTTCCTCATCCATCATCCAAATTTCGATTTCAAGCTCTCCTTTTTCATATAAATACCTCTCTCTTCCAGGGTTTTTTCTCATTACTCTTATCGTTGCAGTCTTGTAGATCATCATCGAGCTGTTGGCTGCTGTTGTTTGGAAGAGAGGAAATCAAACCCTCCAAGTCCAAGAAATATGGATCCGACCATCGATTCCAAGCTTGTTTCAGAGCCTGTTGAGACGGAGAAATGGAAGAAAAAAGTACAATCGCCGTCGTATGATTTGGTGTCGTACAAGGAGTTGCCGGAGTACATGAAGGACAACGAGTTTATTCTAAATTACTACAGGGTTAATTGGCCTCTCAAAGAAGCTCTCTTTAGCATCTTTCGTTGGCATAACGAAACACTTAATGTTTGGACGTAAGTATACCCAGAGTTACGTTTTTCTTAAGTTATGGCCTTTTGTTTTTATTTATATTTTTTTCTAATTTGATTCTGGTTTTTTTTTTATGGAATATTCTGCAGGCATTTACTTGGGTTTGTTCTATTTCTGGGATTAACAGTGACGAATTTGATTGAAGTGCCACAGGTGTCTGATCTCATTGCTTTCTTTACCAGGTTCGTTTAAAGGTTTATGCATGTTATTTATGCATGCATGTCTACATTTATGTATGTGCTAAGAATTTATGATATAAAATTGACGCAGGTCTTTACCTATGAGTGGAGACATCAATGTTTCTCATCATTCTCGAGACCTATTTGTGGTGAGTGCCATTTATTCATAGATTACATTCCTCACTCTGCACGTTTAGTTTTGGTTATGCCATACATAGTAGCCTGACTTTGATAATTGAAGAGAACAATGACTCTCGTCGATTTGAAGCCGGAATCGGACGTTACGTCAGTGACGCGGTGGCCGTTCTTTGTATTCTTAGCCGGCTCCATGTTCTGCCTCCTATCAAGCAGCATTTGCCACCTATTTTCTTGCCACTCGCAGCATCTCAGCCGGTCGTTGTTGCGACTCGACTTCACCGGAATCACCACTATGATCATCGCATCGTTTTTCCCACCGATCTATTATGCTTTTGAATGTGACACTAAATGGCACTTCATCTACCTCGGTGGGATCACGGTTCTAGGCTTGTGCACCATCGTGACACTGCTATCACCTGCCTTGTCGACCAAGAAATTCCGAGGGTTTCGAGCTTTACTCTTCTCGTCCATGGCGCTCTTCGGCATTATACCCGGTATCCACGCCGTAATCATCAATTGGTCTAATCCACACCGCGACGTCACCCTGGACTACGAGTTGACCATGGCTATGTTCTATTTGACGGGGACCCTGTTCTATGTTAGCCGAATCCCGGAGCGGTTCAAGCCCGGATGGTTCGACTTAGCTGACCATAACCACCAAATATTCCACGTCCTGGTAGTGATGGGTGCATTGGCTCATTATGGTGCTTCTCTTGTACTTATGGGCTGGCGCGATGGCCATAGCTGTTAAACGGCTGTTGAGTGATATTCATTTATACTTGAAATTTATGTATTCTCTCTCTCAATTGTTTCGGTTGTTAGTGAATTGAGGAAAGTTAAGTTGAGCTTTCTTCATTCAAATATACACCATGTAAACTTTGATTTATTAATTTATTCATTCATTTGTATTTGGTGTATTGATGATAAGATATATAATTACTCCTTCCGTCCCATATTTGTGTTTGATATTGATTATGCACATAATTTTAGGAGATATAATTAATCAAAGAAAATGATAAAATTATCCTAAAAGGTGATTGATAGATTTGACATATTTGTTTTTGTAGGTGTAAAAGAGTGGGACATATAAAGATAAAAAAAGAAATATAAGTGTTGTTGTTAGTTGACTTTTCTAATAAGACATTTTGAATGGGATAATTTTAAATACCAAAAAGATACTTTTAGTAGGTCGGAGGGAGTAATAACTATTTTAAAATAAGGGTAAAGTACACAAATGGTCCCTCAACTATAAGGTATTGCTTTTTTTAGTCCCCGACTATCAAAAGTTACAAAATGATCACCCGACTATTCATTAGGTTACAAATTCAGCTTTTTCCATTAAAAATTTGACGAAAAAGGACGACTTTGGAATATAATGAATAGTCAAGTGATCATTTTGTACTTTTAATAGTCGGGGGTGTTAAGAAATAAACCGAGTACAAGTAATTTTCCTTATAACCAGATTAGTGCGAATGCGAAATAAAAGCGGAAAAATAATACCCGAAATTGATAACGGAGTTCAGCCAATTTTGCTTACGTCTCCGGACTGCTGCAGATCGTTTACTAAGAGAGAAAATTTACAGGTGTTTACAAAACACTCACTACTCACAAAAAAACTCTCTAGTATTGGAAGGAAGAAATGATTTTGGGATGATTTTCAAGCTAAATGAGCTAGGGTATTTATAGTTGAAACTTAGGGACTAATCTTGTAAATACCCTAAAGTTTAATGACTCAATTTTGTAATTATTCCTATTACAAAATAATTAAAAAATTTTAGCAGCCCATGTTTTTAATTCAAGCAGCCACCGGCTGCTAGCTTTCTTTGACCAACAATCTCCCATTTGAAGACTGATTTCAATATGTCTTCACACCTTGATCAATGCAGCAGCATTTCTGATATTTTATTCTAGTATGCCAACTGAAGCTGAACACAACTTCAGTTTGTCCGTAGTCACCGTCTTTGTTAACATGTCTGCCGGATTTTGAGCTCCACTAATCTTTTCAAGTTTCAAAATCCCATCTTCCAGAAGAGACCGGATAAAATGATATCGCAATTGTATGTGCTTCATTCTGGAATGAAAAGACGGATTCTTTGCTAGATGGATAGCACTTTGACTGTCGCAATACAAGACATTGTTTTCTTGTTTCTTGCCTAACTCTTCCAAGAAACTTTGGAGCCAGACCATCTCCTTGCTGGCTTCCGTAACAGCGACATATTCTGCTTCGGTTGTGGAGAGAGCAACTATCTTCTGTAGTTGAGAAACCCAACTCACTACAGTTCCTCCTAGAG